TCATTTGATGGTTTCTGCAACCGGGAGCAGGAGAAGTAGCGTTCTCAAGTGGCCTTTCAGGCCTTCCTTATTGGGCTTGCATTTAACTACTTTACGAGACCTGTCATTTTATGCTACATTCATAATTTTTATCACATAAGTATAAATGATGGTCGTGTAATAACACACTTTTAAATATAATTTAATAAAACCCTTTGAGTCTCCAAAAAAAGTTACAATAAAATCTCATTGCGGCATAGCTCAAGTAATTGGACAAAGTGTGTATAGTCTTCGTAAGATTCATTCTGGTGTGGAATTATATCTGCACGCCAAGAAGAATGGTGTATAAACGGAAAGCTTGTCACCAACACGTAGAAAGYTAATTCAAGATGAATTCTAAATGTATAAACTTGCATTAGGTGTTTTTGAACAAATATGAAATGTCCGCACAAGTCGGGTTACTTTTGCTAACTTTCACAACTTGATTCATAAAAATACTCATTACGTTCTAAAAGAATCCTAACTAAAACTTTTCCACGGAGCTGAATTTTGCTTATCAAAAGTGCTGTTTAATAATGGTTGCTAATTTCGGTAAAAGTTTTCTAGAACTGTTGTTCATTGAGTCAAAGCACAAAAGTTTCAAATATAAAATGTAAAATATTTGCCGATAGTTTGTTTTCGTATATTTTATAAAAACACTGGATCAAAGTGTGAATAGAATATTGTTTCAAAAAATCCGAATCCCAGAATGCGCATCTTCCTTTATCTCAAAGCTTTTTTTACAATAAAGCTCCAACTAAAAAAGTAAAAAACACAAATAACAATATAAAACGTGTTCGACGTGAGTGTTCTTTCTCAATTTTTTTTTTTTTGAACAACTAATTCAATGAATGTTGAAATGTGATTTAATACGCGCTAATTTTGATAAAACCCTTTTGTGAATATTGATAATATTTTTATTTCCGCTCATAAACACATTTAAAATTTAAAACATTGCATTCAAAACAAAACTTGACGCTTTGAAAACAGAAAATATATTTTTTGTTAAAGTAAACCAACAGTCAATCGTATGTATAATAATAATAGAGATAAATAGTTAAAACTCTTTCCGGTTTTAATGATATAGTTATTGACCCTGGGAGTCATAACTTACCCAGGCCTTATTCCAGCTGACCTAAAACCCAAAACAATTATCACTATCACTTAATAAAAAATCAACAAGCCATTATTTTTACAAAATTTAATATTAATTAGGTTTAATTTTAATAAATAAATAAAATATTTTTGTCTGTAATTATTGATCCATTGTCAGGATAATCTCAACAAGACAAAGTTCATCATATTTTCCACTTTACGATTTTAAATATTTTACGAAAACTTTCATTAAATAATAAAAATGAGTAAAAATAAATCAGTCGAAATTTAAAAAGATCACACATCAAAAGTGTAAAAATGGTCCACAAAACAAAATTAACTAATCGTAGATTTCATTGAAATTGGTATAATAATTGGCTATGGAATTTCATATGTTTTGTAGCCCTGCGTATGTCCCTGGTAATAACAGCAAATGTGGTTTTTGTTTTTCTTTGATTATTTATCAACATGGTTTGTTGAACTGACATGACTGACATTTGTATCCGTTTTGTCACTGTTTTCGTTGCTTGTTCGTTATTCCCAGTATTTTTTCAAATTATAATTAAAAGTATAGTGGCGGACACGGAATTTTGGACAACAAATTTATCAGTTCAAAAAATGTCAATGCAAGCCACGCTTTATTGTCATTATGATTGACGTTTGGAACTAAAATTTAAAAGTTTTAGTTGAAATTTATTTTTGGCGTCGATTTTCCGAAACAATAATACCAGCAATACGTGTTCGTATATAAGTTCAATTATTTTGATTGGTTGTTATTTTTTTCTCTAGCTATCAGGTAAAAATTACAAAAATCGAAAGTGAGGTTAGTTGCCTAATGCACGTTTCACATTTTTATGTCAGTTAAATGACAAATCGTCCAAAATTTTGTGTCCGCCAGTCCGCCAGTGTAATACTCTTCAGAACCCCAGATTTAGAATACACGCTAAGGTATGTTTGAAAACATAATGAATTTTTTTTGTTGTTCCTGTGTTAGGTTAGTGGAATCAAATACACATACCAATTTGAATAAAGCTAAATTATTTTCTCCAAAGCAAATAGTGTATGTTTTTGATGTTAAAACAACTACAGAGGGATGAAACAGGGTGTTAAACTTTTTATGGAAAAAACTCTCTGAAAACCTCTGAAAGACGTTATAGCAATTATGAAATGGAACCAGAACTCGCACCCCAGAGAAAAATTTCAAGTAAAATAATTTTATTAAGATAATTGTTTTCCTGGTATTTACCAGGAAGATGGAAAATCTGTTTAAAAAATTTTATATGTCAAAAAAGTTTGACATTTATTTTTTGACATTTGACATTTTTCATGTCTATTTAATGATATTTATAATTATTTAGTAAAGGTACAAAAATTTAGCCAATAAAAGCCACAAATATCACTAAACAGAGTTACAATTTAGAATACAACTTCCTTGTTTCCTCTTCTAACAGCCTGTAGCAAAAAATCTGGGAAAATTATTTTTCCAACAAAAATAAATAGAGTCAAAGTGCAAAATTTATACTCTCACAACTTCGAAACTTTTGTAGATATAATTTTTGTAACCAACTATGCCAATATCGCTAACTGCTAAATTAATGCTAAAAAAAAGCTAAGTTCCATCGGCTTTTCGAAASATGCGCCTAGTCGGTTGGTAAGCGATAACAAAACATGTCGCAGAGAGATGATTTTTTTGCTTTAATGTCAAAGAGACAAGTCTAATAAGTAATAACAGATATCGTGGATTCAGTTATAATTATTTTCAAATTTTGAAATCAAGAAATTGATGCAGTATGTATAATGGGTTGCGGCAAAGAAAATCGGAAATAACCCTTTCGTGAATAACCCTGTATTCTTACTGTATTCTTACTGTATTCTTACTGTATTCTTACTGTATTCTTACTGTATTCTTATTTTGCATAAGAGAAGTACAAAACTTAACCAAATTTAATTGTAAAATAATGTGTAGCTTTATAATAAAATACCTATATGAAATGCTCGACTTCAAGTAACTAAATTTTAAAAATTATTTATTACAGTTTAACAAAGTAAAAAAGAACAATATTAAGATCTCCTGAGGGAACATTATTTCTATCCTTTATAAAATTTTATATAGTAAAAACGTGAACAAAGATACCATAAATTTCACGATATAGTTCTACAAAAGAAAGATAATAGTAATAATTTATGATAGCAGTATGTTACAAGAAAAGTCAAAAAAAATATTTTCTTGCATTTATTTATTTTGAAGACATATCTTGTTTCATAGCACACATCATTGATCATACCTAGCGAGTGTTCCCTGGAGAAATTTTCCGGAATTTAGAATGAATCATAGGAATAGCAAAATTTATGACATACATTATTAATGAAAAGCCAAGCTATCTATCCCCGTTATATGCAGATCTTTGTAAAATCTAAATCTAATGACGCATTTTATCTTTCTAGTGTAGCGCACAACCGAAGGCAATAAAGAATCCTAATTAACGACCATCCATTAATTACTCCGCTCTAGTAGTCCGACGATAATGTACACCCTCTTATTAGGTTTCGCCTGGGAAAAAATCGCCGCCTATATTTCTTTATACAAAATTAAATTTTTAAATTCCGTCTTTTAGGTTTGGGTCGCTTTTTAATTTCTCGAGACAGTGTTAGGACGTGTCGTGTGCAAACATCGTTAAGTCCGCGAAAATTCTTTAGAATTTCCATGATCCCATTAAAGGCATAAGAAGTACCGGAAGTCGGCATTATGTAACTAACGTCTTAAGCTAATACCTCCATGCGGTTGCCAGGGTTACGGCCTGAGATCGATGTTTCACCCCTGCGCCCCTTGGGAGGGAAGCTGCGAGCGGAGGGGGCGTCCCGGCGCCCACGAGCGCCCTTCAACCGACCGAACTCGCATAACCAGGTGAATATTTTTGAATAAACACAGACTATTGACAATCAAACACAATAGTCGATGTCAATGCTAGACCCACAGGAATTCGAATATAGCAAAAATTGCAAAAAAATTGTTTTTAAATTTGAACTAAAACCGAAATCAAATAAATCATTCGTTGATCCTGCCGGTCTTTCTTTCGGCTTGGATCGACACTTTTTGCCAAGCTTTTTGTGTTAACGCTAGCATTCTTTGTTCTAAATCTTCAGCCTCCTACTGGTGTCATCTGTTTTACCCGATATTAACAAAAACTAGAACAGCTTAAAACAAACTAGTTTGCCTATAACATTATAAAGCCCGACTATTTCAAAAACCATTAATTAAACAAAAATAAGGCAAAATTTTAAAAATCGCGCACTATTAGGCACTCGAAAATATACAACACACACTCACTGAATTTTTCAAATTTAACAAAAAAATTATATTATTCTGAAACAAAATTAAATTCGTACAATTGTAATCTTGTTCTTCCCGATAGTTCTTTAATAACATTTGCACTCGCCTACTACAATTTTTAAAGATAAGCTAAGAAATAGTTCGTTTATCTACAACTACAACACTTTGTAGTCATATTTTACAATTTCTAATGTAATTTTATTTTATTTTATCCCAGAAAAATCCTAACTTTTAAAATAAAAATCGACCACGTTGTAAACAGTGTATCAAAACATTTTTGACCCAGATTGAAAATCTTATTTACTAGACGCCATACATTGTTTTTACTTCTTATTCTACCCAAAGTTTGAACATCTATCATAACTTAGCTTTCCTACAATATCATTTTTAAATGTTCGCATGTCTGATATTTCTTGTTCGAATGATTTAAATGCGGTGATCGGCAATAAAAATCATATTTCACTACCAATACAAAATTGATACCATTAAAAAAATCTTTTATTTTGTAGAGAAATAAAAACTATTAGAGTTTATTTTAGTCAATTGTAAAAAAACATCAGAAATAAAAATATATTTGTAAAAAAGTGATACAAAAGTGCATCCAGACGTAAATAAAGTAGAAATACAAATACGCAAAACCCATCTATCACAATATAAATATGAAAAATGACTTAAATTATCCTTTTTCATCATTACTGCGATAATTGACACAGCATAGCAACACCTCGCATTATCCAGTGCTTTTCAGGCTTTTTAGTTGGTAGTGTCATTGCAATTACAAAGTTGGTGGAATGACCCGTCGTTGACAAAACCCCTCGTCTTTCTGAAGTTTTATAAATCGGACATAAATAAGTTTCCTTCGGCTTGATCTCATCACGTTTCATGGGTTTCATCCAAATCTTAAAGAAATTAATTATTGTTTGTTACCATTTAGCAAGCTGTTTCCTACATGTGGCACCACATCGTACAACACCTTCGGCAGAGACTCTTCCAAAATCATCATATTTTTGTCCCATCTCGCCCCATCTAAGAACAGTCCATAGACAATAACCCCATCGTCAGGCGCTGTAGTTATATGTGTCTCTCTCAAGACCTACAATAAATCCTTCCAACSTCAAATTTATCGCTTAAATAAACTACCTCGTAATCAAATGCAAGCAAGTCGATCGGTATTCTATACTTCCTTGCGTAATTCTGTTGAGCCCCTGTCAGGAAAGCTTGCGTAAAGAAGAACCCCGATAACCAATAAGTCGATGGGGCGCCTTCCTCATACCATTTCTAAACAAAGTCGTTGCCAAAGTTGATAGAAATTTTAAATTTGATTATACCTGCAGGAAGGCTAAACGTGCTAAAAAGTCGTTAACGTAACTTCCCAACGGTTTCAGCGATGGATACGATTTTTTCATCCACAAGTTCGGAATCCTTCCGGTCAGAATACTAACGGTCACTTCTTCCAGAGTGGGAGACATTACAATTATGCCCTTTATTGCTTTTCCAACGTTTATTAAACTTGAGCGAATTTCGGAGAGAAGACGATTGAATCTGTTCATTTCTTGGACTAAAACTGTGTTCATGCTTTGGGCGTATAAAGTCGGGTATTTCTCCATTGCTGCATCGCGGTCATAATTTTTAGGCAACTTGGCCAAAATGTCGGCAGCCACCTCTAAAACTATCTCGTCGGGGGACTTCGTACTACCCCCTGTAGAATGAGCATCCTAAAAAAATGATAAAAACAAAAGAAATTAAATTTGCAAAAAAATTAATTCAGAGAAATGTATCTTACCCGCTCCCTAATTAGCTCCTTTTAAGCAAGCATTATCAAAATTAGATATGATCACAATTAAAATATATTTTCAAAAGGATACAAAACGTATTTGACCTATTTAACCTACCTTTAATTTCCACGCATCCTAAATTGAAAAAGTACAATAATTTCAAAAACATAAAAGTACAAGAGTTTGATCAGATCTACTTACGGTCCTATCCTGCAAAGCAGCAAAACAAACATAAATAAATCTTAATTTAGCACCTAAGGCAATCCCTATAGACATTAGAAACTATTTCTTTCAATAAATTGTTACTACTTAGATTCACGTAAACCATTTTTAATTAAAATAAAAAATATTTTAAAATAACGAACGCAGTTTTGTAAATTTAATTTAATTACCTCGGGTGTAACATCAAAGAAGATGTAACAATTAAACACAACTGCGCTTTTAATTAAAAAAAACGTTTTACCTGCGTGAGCAAAATACTGCTAAACATCAAATTTGTTTCCTGTTGATCTTTCATAATATCTGCGTTTTCGTTCATTCCGAATACTTCCGGATGAGTGATCAAAGGTAACGATTTTGTATACTCCATGAATTCTTCATAATCTTCCTTGTCTGGACAGTAATATTTTTCTGGGCAACAAAAGTGTTATATCGTCTGGAAAACAGTAATACAGCATAACTCACTTGTAGGATCAAAAGGGTAATTCGGAGTTTCGACGAGTTCCTTGCAATAAAACTTCCGGAGTATCGTCGAGAGACATCTCCTGTCCCAATCGTCGGTCACTCGACCACCGTAGTTGCATTCGCCGGTCAAGTACAGCAAGGCGTCGTATTGAATGTCCTCAAAAATTACAAAAATCAGAAACAACCTAATTTTTGTCTTTTCGCGAAGCTTCAAAAACAACACAAAAAACTTTGACAAATACACAACTTTTAAAATAAAGATTCTATTTCAAAAAAATCTTTTTGTAGCTACACAGTAGCTACATGTAGCTTACAGTAAAGTAAATCTAGAAATATTTGAAATTAAATTTAATCACTTTATGAGTGTACCTTCTGGTAAACCCCAAATGGCCTGCTGCCGAGTTTAATCCTCATAAAAAGTATCCTAAACACTTTTCTTCTCAATACAATGAAGTGCAAAATTTTGACCTGTGGTGTTGAGTTTCGACATATTTATGGTAAAGGTAAAGGTATTTACGTCCCGTTGTTAGAGCAAGAAAAGTACTCTCTTTTCAAATAATTCTGGATATACTTTACTTATATACAGGGTGTTCCGTTTTCATTGTAACAAATTTAAACAGGAGATAGAATATTTAATTTTAAGACAAAAGTTTCCTATGAACATGTATCAACAATGTTATGTAAGTGAGCTACACCACCTGAAAGAGATGTTTTTTAATGGGATTTTCCCATTATTGCAGAATAGATAAAATTATAAAAGTTGGTACAGCGATAACCTCTAAACACCTGAACGAATTCAAAGATCAGTTTTCGTTTTTTAATCACGGGCGTCTTAAAAGGTAAAACAAAATTCATTTTTAATTTTTATCCTCTTTACGGTCTGTAAGGCAAATTGTAAACTGATTTTACTCAAAAACGGTAAGTTATATCGAAAAAACGCATGAGACCTCTCTTTTAGGAAAAACTATAGAATTTAGAATTTTGTGTGGCAAGAACCAACAGCCAAAATAGTTGGGGTACTTTTTACCCTAAACCCCCCCAGTTTAGCACGCCCCTGAGTAAAAATTTCGACAGTTTATCTTTGAGTTTGTTTGGGTGTATAAAGATTATCAGTTGGACCACATTTTGTAATTTTATCTGCAATGGTTTCTGAAATATTGAAAAAAATCCATTAAAAGATGCACTCCTTTTAGGAGATGTTGCTCCCTTATACAATAATTTTCGATACATGTTCATAGGAAACTTTTAAATTAAAATTGAATATTCTATCACCTGCTTAAATTTGTAACAATAAAAACGGAACACCGTGTATATTAAGTAGTGGTAATAAACAAAAAATATATTTTAGAAACAATCAAATTAAACATTCGAATTTTGTATACAATCGTTTTCGATGTTGTCACAATTTCATAAAGTTTAAATGAGTTTTCAAAATTTTTTACATGGGTGGCTGCGCCACTGTGTCTGGTTTTAATTACGTTAAGGTGAGTGCATTTAATATGACGTAAAAGCTCCTAATGTGTTTCTATCGAACATAAATGCTGATGCATTTTTCTCAAATTACCTCGTACTCATTCAGAAACATGAGAAGCTGCATTACGCTTATTCTCAAATCTGTCTCGTTAAACTCGTAGGGAATATTCCATCCCAGAGGCCCGAATTTCCTTCTTTCTTGTACCGACGCATGAAAGAAGCACAGGCCATAGAGGAGTCTCTTAAAAGGCACGCTCTGTGTGCAACTCTCGAACCATTCAGGATCAGATATAGGATCGCTCAAATAGGATCGTATTATATTGGCTCTTAACCCCTTCGGCGGCTCGTTCGTCATCTTAACACCGTTTTGTAAAACGAGAACGGGGAAATGTTCGGCGGGATACGAAGTCAACCACAGACGAAAGTCCGGATGAGTCGAATCCGGAGTAAGGTTCTCGCAAATCTGTAAAGTTAATGTTAAAACTTTGTGTTTAATAACTCAAAATGTACCCGTTCGAGCGTCGGCATAAAACTTTTCGCCAAATGACAGTTCTGAAGAACTACCCAAGTGCCGTTTCGGATCCCTTCGTCGATCAATTTAACGGCGATAGGCCCTTGGCCTTGCCCCAACGATAACGCAAATAATCGCGCCGCTCCAAAGCCCTGATCATCCGCAAATTTCAACAAAACTGCCGTCGGATCGGCTCCAGGGGTTAGGACGAAAATCAAGGGTACGCAGCAGTGGGAATCGGTAAATGAGGAGTATAAATCAAAAGGTGGAGGCTCGATAAATTTCTTCCCCAAATTATCTAATTAAAAACTCGAATTACAACGGAAAATTACTTGACAAGGATTTAAACCTGTGACAAATTCTTGGATAGCAGGGACCACTTTATCAAACCTGATACATCGAAGAACTAACATTTTTTGAAACTGTGATAGCTTCTTGTCCCAAGGCGCCGGCAGAGGGTGGTCTTGTGGCTCAACCGAATCGAACATCTCTTTCCATTTGCTTAAATTTTGCCCAAAACTATCTTTTATCCCTCTAAACATATCAATTGTAAAGTTTAGGAAAATTCGAAGTATTAATCATGTCTTACACGAAAGCTGGGTACTCGTCGAGTCGACACAGTTCATCCCAGGATTTAGTCACCAACCAGTCGGATGGATTTACATTAGGATTATCTAAGCCAACACCTCCCGTTAAAAGAAACATCCATTCGGCTAAATCGATAGCGTCACGACTTTTTAGCAAGTTGACAGTCAGCAAAAGTGAAAATAACAGTTTATCCTGCAACACAATACTAGAAAAGTTCGCAACTACACCAAGTTTTACTTTTTCAAATAAACTTCGACATATATTAACATAAAGAGAGTAAGTAAAGTATTTTTCCAAATCAACTAGACGTTCGACGACATCATCGACTTTTTCGGTATTGTCAATAGCAGCTTTAAATAAGTTCATGAACCACACCAGTGAATATTGATACATAGGATCGATATTTGCCAATTCGACTGTAAACATGCAGTTAAGAAAACGTAAAAATTAATTCAACTTTGTCACCGATCGTAAAAAATAATATCGCGGAATGAACAGCTATCGGTTTATACTCCATTCTAGCCTTATCAATTTGCTGTTCAGTTACCTCTGCAATTGCTTGTTTTGCAGCAATTTCATTTGACAGAGTTTTGGACGAACTTAAAATCTGCACGGCAGTTTCGTCCTCTAGAATATTACCTTGAGAAGTACTCAAAACTTCTAAAATTTTATCTTCTATTTCTTTCAAAGCACTGAAAAAATATTTCATTTTCTATTCAAACAACTAACAAAGAAAAACCGTTTATTCTCAGCTCCTTGAAGAATAAGAGCATTTTTCTCGGCTTCTAAATCGGGTCGTTCTTTAGCCACCGTGATACCTAACAATTGATCCTCCAAACCTACAGTTGTTATCATAAAGTTTACCAAAGTCACTTTAACTGCCACTTCAGGCAGATAATGAGGGTTTCTCAGTTTTGTAGTTATAAATAATCTAAAATAATTTGCATAATTGTGGAAACAGATTTCTAAATGTTATTACCTAAAATCAGGATTATACTCAACAACCGAGTCTCCCAATTTTAAACAAAGAGCGCCACTCTGTTTAAAAATTTGTTGGGCTAAAACTGGTTCCAAAATCGGATCCAACTCTTCACCAATATTTTCCAAAAGAACAGGTTGCCCAAATTGAATAGCATTCTCAAGAATTCTGACATAATCAGGCTGATTTAACCGAATTATTGCCAAGTTTTTAGACTTTTCCATGTTTTTAATCCATTTATTAGCTTGTCCTTGTGGATCAATCATCAACGCGTATCTTCTCGCATTTCTAAATAAAAATGTTTAAATTCCTAAACAACTAAACAATTATTACATACTTTATAATTATACCATTGTCAATACTAAAACTGTCAGTCGGAAGTCCAAAAATATTCCAGGCTCTGATTTCCACCGGTTCTCCCAAAGTCGCAGTCAAGGAAAAGTCTTTTGAGCACACGATATTATACCCAATTAACGCATGAATCCACTCCTCAATCTGTTTATTTCTAAACTGCAAAGTAAACGGCCCCAAATACGCCACAACCCCAGCAGCAATCAAAATATCCCCCGTCAACATGTAATACCTCTCCCCCAAAGCTTTAGCCGTTGCCATCCATCTCGTTTTTTCGCCCCCAAGCCCTCCAATTAATTCCTCAGCTCTGTGTAGTTTCAAAGTACACAAATTCACCTCATCAGTCAAATTTTGAAACTTTTTATTTTCAGCATCAAGAGCAGCTTCCAATTTCGCAACTTTTTCTCTTGCTTCCCTCAATTGTTGTCTTTTAATCTCGAGAGCGGTCATTGCAGTCTGAAACTCAGCTTCAGCAGCAGCCAAAGCCAATTTCTTTGGAGCCACGACTTTTGCTACTTTGTCATATTTAGAAATTGCAATAACCCATTTGCTCAAACCCTCAGCTGCTGTCGAAGCCACTTTGATTTTCTCAGGGTCAAAACTTTCATCGTTGAGAATTTTTTCGGCCAGTTTTGCCATTATTTTGGGTGGTATGTTATCCTTATCGAAGTTGATTAAACTATCCAAAAATTTCATGTCGCCGAGGACTTTCTTTGAAGGACCCCAATAGTCTTCGTAGGTCCCTATACCGCTCGGTAATGGTAATTTTTCAGGTTTGACGTCTTTCAAAATACAGACTGCTTCCATAACAAGTCTTACTCCTTTCGGAGGACTTTTCATTGTTTTGACGACGGCAATATCAGCAGTTGTGAGAGTGTTTAAGGCTGCAAGAGCCGCGTTTAAGATTGGCATAGCTTCGGCTAAGTTGGCATCGCATTCGTCTTTGATAGCTTGCGCTTTTTGGGCTTGCTCATTAGCCACGGCTTCGTCAGCCATAACCGTTTTCTCGACTTCGGCTGCTTCGGCAGATTCAGCTTCGACTTTTTTCATCGTTTCGGAAACCTTGGCTGCGGCTTCGACCAAAGCTGGTTGCAGAGTTTCCAATGCTGCTTGCATGACTGACACTTGTGACCCAGCATGCTCTAGTTTTTCTAACCCGACTTCGTAACGTTTTTTTCCGGTAAGTACTTCCCTGAAAATAAGGATTAACACTTTGTGATTGTGTTGAAAATTGTCGGTTACTGTCGTTTCCTATTAAGAAAAGTTTTGAAGGTGTTTATTAACTCTAAGTAAGATGTTGGAGTAACATAATTATGGCGTTGTAATCTTGTATAATACTCGTCGGAAAGTTGTTGAGTTGTTGTGTGAAACATTTGGCACATGTCAATGCAGACGTCTCTTTCCCGAGTTTCCAAATCAATTTCCCCCAAGAATCGCGTTGCTACGGCTAATAAGGCGTCTTCAGGCCACGCCTTGAAAGTTATTTTGTATTTTGTGTGAAAAAGAGATATAAAGAAGTTTTACTTGAAACCAATCTATCGTGCAGCAATTCACAATCGCAGGGAATTTTCTTATACGTGTCCTGAAACTGTCTCCTATAGGACTCATTGCCAACACGATATGTAATTGTTCTTTGACAATTTGCACGAAAAAGTTGTAAAGTGCGACCGGACTTCCGTCGGTTTGCAGAGACTTATCTCTTTGCCTGTCCAACTGTCGCATCTTTTCACACAGTTCGACGCGTTCCTCGCCTGTAAATATATTAGGAACTTCTCCGGAATTCATCAAATTGCTGATGTCTTCCAGAAAACCCTCTTCTTTTATTTGCGAGTCTGTGAATAGGAAAACTCCGTGTTGATCCGTCGCACTCGCTTTCCTTAATATCACTTTAACATCCTCCCTCCATTCGGGAACTCCATAAGACCTAGTGATCTCCACTTGGAAGAGTTCGTATTCGGATATATGAGCCGCGAGACGTGTGAGTGATTGCCTGCCAGAGCCCCCAACTCCGACGCAAAGGCCGTGACTTCGCGGTTGCTTCAATATCCGACATAGCTTTGATAAATGTTCAATCGCAAATCTAAAACGCTCTATTTTTAAAAAAGAATCACGCATCTATCTCTCGCACCTAAAAAGTACCAAATTCATCGGTTTTTTTGTCATGTTGTTAAACTCGGCAAGATAACCCTCGACAATCTCCTTCAACTGCTCCAAATCGAGCACTTCGATGTAATGTCTTTGATCGGCTTTGGGATTCGCAAAATCGCAATACAACAAATTCCTCAGCTCAGTCTCCCCTATCTAAGACACGAATAAATCAAAGGGCAACCCAAGCATTGTTTAAATTACTGTCGACGACTCCGCAGAGGCTAATCTTTCGAACATCGAGTCAAAGTTTTCCTCTAACTGCTGGGTGGTGACCTCCCTTAAAGCCTCTACGATCCATGATCTGTCCGTGTCGTCGACCAAGCGGTCGTAATACACCCGCAATACTTCGTGGACCCACAGACGTTTCATCGCTACCAAGTCCTCCATGGCCTCGGGAACCGACAAAAGAACGCCCTAGAAGAAAACTCGTAGTGTATTTGGTTGCTCAACAAATAAAAAGGTTTACTTGTATGACTCTGGAGAAATCTCGCAAATTGAACAGGTAATGCGACTTCGCCGGTGTTGGGAGCAAATTGGCCCTTGCCATTTTGTAGATGTCGAGAGTCGCCAGGACGATCTGTTGAATGCACGGGTCGAACTCCTTCGAAAATCCCCTAGGAAGCGTTGATTAAAAGCCGTAACAACACAAAATCATACATTTAAACAAAAATGTCGAAACATCGTTTTTATTACATGCTCCTAATTTTTAATTTAATTAAAAGTCTAATACCTACATAATACGCAAAACTAGTCTCAATTTAATTAAATCTGTATTGTTAACTCACTCTTATAACCCTAAAAGTGTGCTTTGTATGCTTTTATTAGTCACATTTGGTGTTAAAAACTTTTAATGCATTTGCAATGTTCTAAAGCTTGTTTATAAAGGGAAAAGAAGTTTTACGTTACATTTTTATTTAAATAATGTAGAAATTTATGACAAAAAATATAGCTTTATTGTTTTTTCAAATCAAAAAATAAAAAGATCAATTTTAAATACAYGAAGCATTTAAAAACTGATATAAAAAATAAGTTTAGTATTTATGAAATCAAATTTAAACATATTTCTTAAGAGCTTTAAAATTCTGTTTGTTACAATTATTAAATGCTTTTTTCTTCATTAATCAAGTAATTAATAACCTCTGCATGGCAGCAAAAAACATTTTTTAATGGTGGACGCGCCAGTTACCTCAAAATTGTCATATAATTTGATAATTTTCAGAAACTCTTTGTGGTAAACGTTAGTTTAAAATTACATTTTATAATTAAATATTTAATAATGGTTGCACGAAAAATGATTCCCAATTATTAAATTCCTAATTTAGTTAATTTATTGCCGACATTATATTAAACGTCCATGTAAATAAACAAGTGATTGATATAAATGTGTAATACCTCGTATCCAGATGCCACAACATAATTTTGCTGAAAATATGAATCAAAACATTTTCCTGAAACTCGTCGATACATAAATGATTAAAATGCCTTGAAAATCTAGGTGTGATTGTGTTTCCACCTCCAGTGGGGGGACACATAGCACACATAAACTGTAAAAAAAAATTATAAACAGAAAAACAATTATTATGTTGATTACCTGTATATCTACGAGTTTTATGGGGACGATTTCCTTCCTGTCGTACCACATTTCATGATCAAACCATTGTCTTAGCAACTCGATGGGCGGCTGCGCCCCATACACCTCTTTCAAGGGCATGTTAACATCGTCGACAAAAATGACACATTTTTTAGTAACCGGAGGGCCAAAAACACCCTTCCTTCGTTTGTCTAATTTTGCCATAATTATGTCTTGTGTCTGATTAGCAGTGGTTTGGGCAGAAAAGCTGATAAAAACGGGTTTGTATGTATTTGTGTCATTCTTTTTCAGCAGGAAATCCTGAAAACAGTATTATGCATTTTTTTTAATGTTGCTGAAAAAAGCGTACCGTAACATAACACGATTTTCCGGTTCCCGTCGGACCAATAATCATCATAGCTTTTTGGTGTTGCACCAGTAATTGCATTATTGTGATATTTCTGATAGTCTCCACAGTGGGGACGATTATTTGATTTACAGGAATATCTCTGGGAATTGGCGGGGCTGATGCCAATTCATCAGACCAAAGTTTCCATTTTCCTTTACCCTTGCTCACAAGAGAAATAAACTTCTAGTGTTTTTACACAGTTTTTCTTACCTCTTTTATGTATCGATAATCGAACACTGTTTCCCCGATTGGTATCGTAAAAATGTACGGTTTCTCAGGTTTGGCGATTTCGAAAGGAATGTGTAATTCCTCACGGACTTTCTCGGGAAATTCCCTCTCTAATAACGCGCGGAAAAGTAGATTGAATTTTGGTCGGCTGGCCGCATCTAAAGTTCCACCCATTGACCAGATGCAAGCGAAAAAAAAAGAACCTTCAATTTGTGCTCTTACATCCAAATCGCTGACTTGCTCACGGTATTTTTCGTCGTGAAAATCATCCATGAAACAATCAAATAAATTCATTGTAGCTTTCAGTAAATTTGTTTGAGAAGTTGATGCAATTTCCTGTAACAAAATTACAAAACTTTTGCATTTTCAGACAGTAATAACGCACTTTTAATCCGCCTTTGTGCAACAGCCATAACAGTGGATTACAAAATCTCACAAATAAAGTCTTAATCATTGTTTTATAAAAATCTGTATTAATGAATGGAGGTAGATTGTTGAGCCAYGATAATAGAAGAGGTTCCCATCCTAGAGACGCTGGCTCCATATAAATCATTCCGCATCTAGAAACAGTAGCAGGAGAAGCCACTTCTAAGTCCATTGGTTCAAAAATCAAGTTTGTCGTGTTTGCTAATTGAATAATTTCGCCAGACATGAGACACAATTTTTTATTATCATCCAAGACAGTATTCATATTTTCTATCCAAACTGCGTCCACAGGACCATCAAAAATTAACCATTTTCTGTTGAAATCAGTTATAAAATTGTTTATAATTTTTTAATAAAGAACCTGTCGTCAGTTGTAGACATAGCAAATTGACGAAAACTCACAGCTAAAACCCCATCTGACCATTCATGCGATACAGGGTCGAATTGACCATACAGTTGACCCATTGTGATAGATTTTGGGTTCATTACTGTATAGATCGCTTTATGTTCATCCATACCACCCTAATAACAAATTAGAAAAAAAATGTTAGCCCAACAATCACGCTTACTCTCTCCTCAATAAGAGCCAAAGCTTCGGCAAGAATTCGGTAAGACGTTGTTTTACCACCAAATGGTAAACCCACAATCATTAACCCATGCCTAACAATAATCATTTCGTATAATTGTTGAACCTTCTCTAAGAAGAATGGTGTATTCTGAATATTTGCAGCTTTGCAAGCATCGTCAACTGCTTGGTTCATGATAACGTAGTCAGGTTCTGGCAAAATAACACCAGGAAACAGATCAGAGGTAATGCCCTAATAAAAATAAATTTATAACTACTGATTACCCGATTTTTATAAAATACTTGAAATAGAGGTACATCCATATTTAAGAACTTGGCCAAATTAACATCCTTAATGGACCTGAGAACTAGAATGTCTTCCTGCTCTTCAGGATAGCGCAATTTCAACGCTCCTGCGGCCCTCAAAACCGACTTAACAGCCCTCATACCATAATCATAATGACATTGAGAGGATAACTGTTCTGAACAAAGCCTATAAGTCGCAACAATTTTGACAGCCAAAGGCTTAGCCGTAAGAAAACCAGAAGCATAAAGCTCAATTTCCGAAATTAAGGCATAATCAGGCACCATCATAGCTACAGATCTAAATAGAGCTTTCAAATTATCTGGTAATTCAGATCTGCCGGCATAGCCYGGATTCATTGTGATAAAAACAGCGCAAGTTGGGTCAAGAGTTAGTTCTGTTCCCTCAAAGAACAGTTTTTCGTTACCCGAGTTGATACCTCTTTGAATGGTCAAAATTTGTTGTGCTACTACTGAAAGTACTTCCAAATCGATTCTGTTAAATTCATCGAAACAAGACCAAGCACCACACGATGCCAAACCTTTGAAGAATTTACCTAAAGCGATGTAATCAAGACCATCGGAACAGTTAAAAACGACACATTGTTTAGCTACTGCTTTAGCTAAGTCTTTTGTGGTTTCGGTTTTGCCGGTTCCAGCTGGTCCTTCTGGAGCTCCACCTAATTCACAAATCTAACACCAAATTATCTCTAATTTGTTAAATTTACCTAAGTGAAGATGCAAAGCTCCAAATAGTGTTCGATAACACCGATCTGTCAATGGTGTCACAACTAGCCTTGTGGTATTACCCAAATATTCGTAACCGTATTTCAAAGTCGAGTTAATCATTGAAGTTTTTAGGTTGTTCTCTTCCCAATAGTAACGCAAGTGGCACAACCACTTAAAATCGCTAACATTTTTTACACCTAGTTGTATAATTTCTGCTAAAACGTCTCTGGCATGAACATCTAAGACAACCAAAGCTCCTACAAAACAAATTTTAAGAAACACGTATAAACAGTTTAAAAAAATTTCAACCAAGTGTAATCCGGTTTTGAGTATTTAGTCTCCCACGAACAAGATCCACAATTTTTCCGATTTGCTCCGTACATTTCTCCAAATAAGCTTTCATAGCTTCGGTGCTAGTTTCAATAGCTTTATGGACTTCCAAAGTCCAGTAAGTCATAGAAATACATTGTATCTAAAACTTTGAATTAATTTTTTTTCAAAAATGTATTGGTATTGTTACAGTTTGGCCTGGCCATACTAAGACCCATTGTTCTCTCGATCGTTTTACATAATCCTTAAGTGCCTCATGCACCATTTTGTGAACAGATTTCTTCATATCTGTTTCCAATTCAACTAACCACTTCTCTACTTGACCTCGAGCAAGACTCGTCTGAATCACATCCACAAGTGGTACAATTTCACCTTCACTCGACTTCATCTCAGTCACATCTAAGTCTTCAGTGAAGGTAAGTTTGGCAATTCCCTCGAAGCACTTCTTCAAGTGTGGTTGTACCCTAAAAATTGCCTTTGCATTTGGAAACATAAAAATCAAAAATGTACCTTGTTGGATCTTTGGTTTCWGACAATATTTCCAACAATTCGTCATTAGACAAAAAGAAAAATCTRGGGAAATAGAGTCTCTTTTTCTCTAAATAGTCATTCAAGCCTCTCTGAATCATCTCCAAGAGACTATTGCACTTCTTGAGACGTTCAAGCATTTTATCGATTTCGACCACAGATAAGACTTTGCAATCAGCATTGACTGTTTTCATCAAGTCTCTCCAAATTTTGTCAACAGCACTGAACCGTCTTCCCTCTTCTGGCATTTGTTGCTGAATATCTGGTGAACTAAATATTGGTTCCAAGTACATCCATGTTGATTGCACTTTCAACCACTCATCCAAAATCTCTTGCAGCAGTTGAAGTTTAGCTTCCCATGAACTAGAAAAAAAATCCTAGATTGTACTTTATTAAAATTATAATAACTAACAGAATTTCTTTCTCGAATGGCTTGATATAAGGTGAGTTCTTCATCGTTTGTGTCTTGACAATATGATCGTCCAGCAAGACTTGTATATCGTCAACTGCTGACAAAATATAAGTACCAGTGTCTCTGTACGCATGAACAACAAATTCCATGTCCTGCCATTCGGTCATCATCTTACTCAAATTCTTTTCGAGGTTATTTTCCTTAGTTGCGGCTTCAGATATTGCCTCAAACTTGTCAATATACTCATCAAGGCCATAATCGATAATTTTCTCAAGAGTAAGCTCAGAGTCGACTTTAATTGGAAAACCAACAATTTCCGAAATCTTCTCCCAATGCCGAGGTTTCATTCCCGGATTTCCAAGTGTTTGTATAATTGGCATGTGCTCTTTGAATTCTTCAATTTGAGTTCGCACCTAAAATATTGTTTAGAAAATAGTTTTCAAAAATAGTTTTAGAAACACAAAACATACAGTGGTAGCCAATTGCTGTGTTGTCGGTCGATCTGAAAATACTTTCTCCAATTTATAAACATTTCGATAACACTGAGCTACATCCTGTTCTATTTCTTCCGGATCGTAGGTTCCGACTTGTGACTTCATCCACAATTCGTATTTTGTCAAAAACTCCATTGAGTTATCGTATAATTTCTTATAAGGTGTCAACTTATCATGAGTTTGTTTTCTAAGAGGATACTGAGATAATTCGAAACCGAAAGCAGCCTCTTCTTCATTAAAAGCATCAATTTTTTCCATTGCTGTAATCAATCTGTTATCAAGTTGAGTTGCTTTCTTGTGATATCGAGGCAAGTCGTCAATATTCCCATTATGTTGAAGCTCGTCAACCATTTTGGCATAGAGTTGCAAGTCATCAACAAACTTTTGGATTCTTGAAGCTAAAGAGGCTTGGAATTCTTCCATTTTAACGTCGACCAGTTGTCTGTGTTCTTCAACAACTTTAGGCATTCGCAAATACCATAAGAAAGTGATATTGTTTTGCTTCATTTCAATAGGGGTAAATATGGCATGATCCGATAGGAATAACATGTATTTCAGGACAATTCTAAGCCGGTCTTCCATTTCAGGAAGGGTGGTGGTTTCAGTATCTTCAACAAACCGAATTAAAGCCATTAGTTCGGCAGTATTTGCAGGCGTTTTGAGAGCTTTCTCAGCTATAGCCTGATATTCTTCACCAAGTCTATAAAAAATTTAAAAATATTTACGAAACTGCAATGACTCAACCTACGCTTTGCACAAAGATTGATAATCTTTAGTACAACGTTTGATTAGAATATCTTTAAAATTTTCAGCGGCTGCTACAAGAGCTTTAATCATTTCAAATCGTTCCATATTATACATCTCCATCGTAATAATGTGTTCTTTGACAATCGGAATTTCATCAATAATTTGTTTGTAACGCAATATTTCTTCAACATATTCATCAAATGATCGATCTTCAGCTAAAAACTTAGTAATCCATTCTTCGTCCTATAAAAAAATTTAAGCAAAAATTAGACTCGTAATTATTGATTAACTTCTCCGTTTATCAGTGGCATATACTCATCAAAATCTTGAACACGTAGTTCCGGTCCAATTCTCTGATTCTCTAATAAATCTCTAATTCGTTGACGGTAATTTTCGACAGTAAGTTCCGGAATCGTTGGCTAAAAAAGCGATGAGTGGAAAAATAATTTCAAAGAATTTTTACCAACTTTTAAATAAACCTCTTGACCCGCATCTAAATAAAGTCGACATTCCAACCTCGGTACTGTCATTACAGCTTCGATAATAAAGTCAATAACATTGAGTAAAGCATCAGTAAAATGTTTAAATGGAGGCTCAAACACTAACGTATTGACTTTCTGATGTAAATGAATTATAAATCCTTTATTCGAATACTAAAATTAGGGTAATTATTTTAAGACTATTAACGTGTTAAAGCTACTTTAATGTCAGTAATATAGCTAATGTAGTCGTATAATGATTTCAGACAAAGAGTTTGTAAATTGTATGTCATTATTGTCGCTACAGCGTTATAAAAAGATTTCATCCTTTTCGGTTTTGCTGGATCTGGAAGTAAATTCTTTTTACTGCCTTTTAAAAAAACGTCAGTCACAGCAGCGTAGTAGTCGTTCATAAGTGTTTGTTTGCAAGCATCGATTTGGTTGTTGATTGTCCATTTAAATTCTTCGAGACTGAACGCGCCTTCGTGAGCCATTAGTTCTTTCGTGTCGACCAATCGAAGTTTTCTAATAAATTACAAATCACATACTTTCACTTGCAACTTTTTGAGTGCAGTTTTACCTAAATCTGCTATACCAAATGTCCAAGATGGCGGCCAAACAAGGATTTATGACATGAAGATCTCTTTCCAATTTAGCTTTAGCCGTTTGTATGACAGTTTTTACTGTTAAGACCATATCTTTCAATTCTTTTTTATGTGGCGATTCTGTTTCAGATACAACTTTTACAAACGCTGGGTCTTGGAGGACAAAGTCGACTATAGCTTTTTTAACCGCCATCATGAAATCAGTTTTCATGTCTTCGATGGAAGCTTCTAGAGTTTGCTCCCATTTCMTTAATTTTCTAGGAACTAATGCTAACACCTATGATTAAATTGTAAATGACAATGCAAAAATATTGTTTTTATATACCCTATTTAACACTTTAACGTCTAATGGAGCTACATGTATTGTATCAACACCATATTTGATGTAATAGTAGTAGCGCAAAATTTCTCGCTCATCTGCTGATGGTATTTGGTTTGGATCAACAGCATCATCGTCTTTATTGACAATTAAATCGACAAGTCTTTTTCTAAATTCTTCTCTTTGCTTTCGCAACTCAGTATACGACTTCAACTTATTTTTTAATTGTTCATCTTTAAAAAAATATTTTGCTATGAATTATTCCACATCTTAAAAGATACCTCTTTTCTTTTGCTCTGCTACTTTTTTCCGATATTTGGGATAAGAAGAAGCTATAACCGGTCGTAAAATTTCAGGAGGTAATGAAAATACATTGCGATCTTGAATATTAAAATCCGAAGGAACGGTTAATCGTGGGACTTTAATATTAAGATCGCCTCTAGCTTCCAACCGTGCCCTTTTTTCTGCAATTCTTTTTAACAGTCGCTCTTTTTCAATATCTCTGCCTCGGGAACCCATGTCTGAAAAGTTTAGTAATCACTGGAATGTTAAGCTTTTGACGGTCACTAGTTTCTCTTATGTCATTCGCCGGTAAAAAAATTGACATAAGTTTTGAGGTTAGGTAAACGTGAAAAATTGTGTAATAAAGAAAAATGGTAAGAAAAACTCTCAAACTTACTTTAAATAACCGAAGGTGACATAACTAAGCACTTATTTGCGGTTTTCTAAAAAAGAACAGATTAATRACGCTAAATAAATCACCTTTCAATAAAACTATTTATTTATTTGTCATAGTAACAAGAAATCAGAAAATACGATCGAAATGAAGAAATAATCAATACAAATCATTTTCAGATTTCGTCGAAAATTTTGGCGCGTTTTGTGCACCTACAGGGCCCATATCTGGCTGCGGAAAAATCCTTGTTAGCAACCCTTAGGAAGAAGACAGGATACACGTTTTCTAATTGTAAAAAAGCTCTGGAATTGCATAACAATGATATAAAACAAGTGGGTGATTACTTGTGGCCACTACTTTGATTTATTTAGGATTTGTAGGCGGAAACTTGGCTTAGACAACAAGCACAGACCTTGGGGTGGGCTAAGGCCACGAAATTGGAAGGCAGACAGACCTCTCAAGGTTTAGTTGGACTATCTGTTAACTACAAAAATGCAGCCTTGGTTGAGGTCAATTGTGAGACAGATTTTGTTGCTAGAAATAAAGAGTTTCACAAATATGTCGAAGAGGCAACTTTGAGTTGTTTAAATTTTGTTCAAACACAGCCAGAGGATAAAACCATAAAGAAAGTATTGGTTTCCCAGGTTGTTTTTAATTTTTGTTATAAAATTTCGATTTTAGATTACTTTAAACAGTGAACAAATGAAAGCGTTTTTAGCAACTGATGGCAAGTCGTTGGCAGACCATTTAGCCTTGATGATTGGAACAGTTGGTGAAAATGCATCCTTGAAAAGGGGGTTTTGTGTTAAAGCTCCAAGTGACGTTCATTTGACAGGTTACGTCCATCCTTCAGGCAATGATGGTTCGGTTTTGCTCGGAAAAATTGGAGGTTTGGTTGCTTTAAAACCGTTGTCTTCGAAGAATCTAGATTTAGATGATATTGGTAAAAAGTTGTGTCAGCATATTGTTGGCATGAACCCCAAGAAAATTGGTACATCTGATGATGAACCAGCAAAAGACAAAGAGGAGGAAGTGTGTCTGATTCATCAGGAGTTCTTGCTTGATGACAGTATAACAGTAAAACAAGTTTTAGACGAGTATGAAATTGAGGTGGTTGATTTTAAGAGACTTGAATGTGGAGAGGGTACAGTTGAAAATGTGAATCAGCCTTTAGAGTTATTAGAGACTTGTCAGTAGTTTTTCTAAATTTGTTATTAAATAAAATAAGTAGTTTTAAGTGGATTTTCTCATTTCTGCCACAGATCTGTTCTTTTTGGAATCAACATTATTTTTCCACATCCACATTCTGCAGTCTTTCTTCCACGTCCACGCAATGTCGTCCGCCGTGTACTTTCTGCCTTTCAGGCTCAAAAACTCTTCTTTTATGTAGTAAACTTCATCCGTTACGACGTCTTTAGTAGCAATCGCATTTTTGTCCATTCTTTGAATGTCATAATCCTTACAAAATAATTCGCAACAGTTTTCTTTTGTATTCTACAAGAAAATTTGTGATTCGAATGGCAAAATGTCATCCCAGTCATAACCTGATATCGTTGATTTGGCAGTGAATCGTAAAGTTTTGTGTCGACCATTGCCCCTGCATAGGATTTTGCTTCACGTAAATTTAGATTAGCGGAAGTGAGGACCCCTAATTCGTTCGTTGATGCACATTTCTTCAAAATTAGATTTTTTTCTTTGGGGTTCATAATGACAAATAATTTGAGAACGACATTTTTGCGCTTGTTTTTACGATTTCCGAAAAGAAACGCTTTCTATGAAAAAAAAAATCGCTACAAACTTCCTCAAGCATTTACTAGTCTAGAAATTGAAAAATTGAAATAGTTTTGGAAAAAAATCACACGTTTGTGCTTCTTTACATACATATTAACTTTTTATTTAGTTCATAGTTTTCAACGCATATGTTTTAGGACAAGGATTTCTGAGTGAGGGAATAAAAGACAAACTATATTCAATATATATTTTTTCTGAAATATACACCTTTTAACAATCATAACACTTGAATAGGTTTCATATAGCCATACAAATTTTATACACATAATATACAGTAATAAATATTATTTATACTTGTTTTGCATTTAAAATAATCTAAAATGATAAAAGATATAGCACTTTTTTGATTGAAAACAAATATTCATAAATAAAATAATGACGTTTAAAACCTACAAAATAAATTACCGACAAGTATAAATAATGCACAGTTTGTTTTCATAGAAAACACTGTGTCGAAATTTGATTTCTCCTTAAGCCTATTTGCATTGACATTTTAAAAATAAAATTAAAATTTTACAATAATTCCAAGATGGAACATAAGTTAGAAAGAAAACGTTAAAAAAAGTGACATAAATTTTGCACAAACAGATCGAATAAGATGAAAATTTAAGTCTCTTTGTTTTTCTTTTTTTTTATAAATAGAAAGCATATCATGTAATTGAGCAAACTTAAACGTAACATGTACAGAGCTACTACATTATCTTGTCAATGTTTTTTTTTTACAAAAATGGCATATAATTTGAACAAATTGCTGATGAGCAACGGCGATAATACTCGATTACAACATGGTAATCTTACAACAAATATGTAAACATTACATATGAAAAACGTAAAAAATGTAACTTCTTGTACTTATATTAGAAGTTGCATGTATAAAGTGCCTTATCATTCAATTAAAAAGCACATTGTAATTGTAAGCTGAGCTTTTAAATGCAAACAATAACACCTTACACAGCAATGAGTACGGAACATGAATGATGCCTCCACCAATGAATTTATACTGAAAAAAATAAATGGATTAGCAACTAGGAAAAAAAGCCATGCAATGAAAGATGTGTTAACACGATCAAAACTAAAAAAGTTAGTCTTACAAACAGTTACAAAAACTTTATCATAGAATCATATAAATAATGATTATTATACAACTAATCTGAGATGTTTTTTCATTTGTCCACCAATACATTTATACACAGACCACTAGTGCTACACACAGTTCAACTTTTCTTATGATTTTTTAGTAACTACTGGTGCTACATTAAGGGAAAAAAAGAACACTTAATTACAAAGCTTAGTGATAGTTGCTGTTATTACCTTGGTCGAAACAACTAGGGTTTATCAAGTTGATCAGTTCATTTTCAGTGAGGGAGGTGAACGACTGCGGGATCATCCTATCCTCGTTCTTCTTATCGGCTTGCGAAACACCAGTCATTTCTTTCACAGGCACTGGTATGACAAAATCAGACTTATTGTCCTGAGCTATCGTCTTGTTCATAAGCATGTCAGACGACGGTACCGTGTTTAAAAGTGGTGCTTGTACAAAATTGTTCCCTTGTAATTGACTTAATCTACTTGAAGGCATCACGTCATTGGTTGTACCCGTCGATGATATCGTCATTATATTGTTCATAATCATCTTATTACCACTATCGATAGTTTGCCGACTATCCAACTCGGAGATTTTCTTCTGCGTTTCCAACAAATCTACAGCGGCTTTCAACAGTACAACCTTTTCAGGGTCGGGAGTGTTGACCAGAGACAAAGGATTTGTTACAGCGATTGGGGAATGTAAAGGAGATGTGTGATTCGGATTGGTTGTCAGAAGAGTGGGTACCACCGGCGGTTGCAAACTCGACTCGACTGTCACATTCGGCTGACAGATGGCGCTGGGTAAGAGAGTATCTTGAGTGTTGCGACACATCAAGCTGGGCGAAATTTGCGAATTGAGGATCACCGCTGGTGATAAATTTGGAGAATTGTGATTATTGAGATCGTGATTTAAGATAGGAGATGGCAGAGTTGTGTTAATAATAGGCGCAACCATTAAACTCGAACGCGAATTTAGCATAACATCTCGTATAACATCGTTCGAGGTTTCCGAGTTGGTTGGAGTGTTAGGTGTCAGAGTCATTTTATTTGACATTAACACATCTTTTGATTCAGATCTTGTTGGACTTCCAATATGAGACTCAACAGTTGAATTGACGAGTTGATCCAACTTTTCGGTATTAATAGGGGCAGTTACGTTTTCAATACTACTGATAGTAGTGATAGGCGACGAGATCGCGCTCGCTTGTTCTGAAATTGTTTGTTCAGCGATAGCTGCAGCCTCGCTTTTGGCTACAAGCAAACTCTCGTTTTCTGTAGTCCCAGTCAAAAAGGGTCGTTGTGAGCTGAGATAAACCGGTTCAGTGGCAGTTGTGTTAGGTATAATATTTCGGCACTGCCGAAACGCTCGTGCTTCAGTACTGATAATTTCGTTAATCTTGTCCGAAACATCTTTTTTTAATTGCAAATCGTTGGGGAGCACCTTGGATTCAATATTGGTTAAGAAATTCTCTACACTTTGTGCGCTTTGAGCCGGCAAAGGGGCGTTGTTCGCTTCCGTTACCCCGAAACTCTGCAACGTGGCCATCGAGGGCGCACTACTGTTTCCCAAATCGGCCACAGTGGCCATCGGCATTTTCATCCTTAAGTCCATGACTTTCAATTCCTCAGCTGTGGCAGCATGCATGACCCCATGAGGTGCCGATGCGAGCATGTTTTGGTGCATTAAGACCGGCTGTGATAATACTAATCGGTCAGTCACTACTGAGTTACTACAATGCTGCATCACGTTACTGCATGAGTTGTCTTCATTCATCGACGACATCTGCGAGTTGCTTAAATTGACATCCATGGAGTTCTCGCAGACGCTGCGACTGATCGAGCCCCTTCGCACCATCATTTCGACACTATTYTCGTTACTAACGCTTAGATTTGAGTTTTCGTTGTTGATCATGTTATTGTGGCTCAACATGTCGATGGAGTTCTCGTTGATCATCGACATGTTGGAATCGCCGGGATGGACATCAAGGGAGCTCTCGGAGATGTGTCTGTAGCGCTCAGAGTGGTCCATCGGCTCAATAACGGAACTTTGGCTGTTTTCGTCAATGTATTCCTGTTTGAGTGTGTGTAAGGGAGGCGATAAGTTGTCGCTGGTGGAGGGTAGGCTGATGGAAGGACGGCGAGAAGCCATGGGGACCAAACTTGACTCTGGAGGGGGCATCATGCCCAAATCTTGCTCACGCTTGCTGATGTTCGACGACCAAATCATTTTGTTAAAAAAGGGCGCTTGTGTAGTAGCAGGAGGAGGGTCGACGTGAACTGTAAGATACAGAAACTGTATAAGTACAGGCATGCGAACAGTGACGTTTTAAATCTAAGATCTGCCGTCAAAGCCACTGTAAAAAAAGGGGGGGCGTTGCCACTCAAGCCACGCACTAGATTTACAATTATCAAAAAAAAAAAAAAAAAAAAAAAAGAATGAGAGGCTATGGCTTGATAGACATGACCTCCAATGTTAACGCCCCAAACTCACACGGATCCACAATAACCAGTTACAGAAAAATCATTCATTCCATTTGTCTTGGTATCATACTCAAATCTAAACCTACAATAAAGGATTCAAGGATTTATGACAAGTATAATATGATGATCAAATACTTCAGGCTAAAATATATATTTTTTTGGGTAAAAATAATGTAAGAAACCTCTCTACCCAATTATGACAATGCGATATTCTGAATTTAGTTGCTTTCCAATCATTCCACCACCAATTTTATGCTAAGTCTATAGCCTGAAATAGTTTTAGTTGAATAAAAAGGTCATGGTCATGATTAGAATAACTAAAATAATGGATAAGGGCCGGGTGTTAATAAGTTTCCCAGTTTTAACTATCGGTTAACATAAAACGTAAAAAAAATAAATGCGAGTGTGTAATGCGTGCGTAAATAACTTACATTTAATGAAATCTTGAATGTGGGATGAAATCTATGATTGTCGTGAATGAAAATATGGGAAACAATGCAGATCTCATCCGGCATGATTATTTTCTAACTTAGATAAAATCCCATCAAAAATGCATTTTATGTAATCATTAAAATGTTACTATGATTAATTTCCTGTTAGATAAAATGAAAATAACATGTCCTTAACAAAAATTAGCTGAACACATCAAGTTTTTCCTTTTATAAAATATATTTTTGTTGGGAAATTAATGTCCCTCAAAAAACATGAAGCGTGATATGATCCTAAATTAACCATTTACCAAAATCCCAAATAAAATCGACTGTAGAGAGAATTCTTAAGAGGATATAAAATGGAATCTGGTGATTACAGGATAATAACCTTAAGACTCACTCAAAAACTCAATCATCTCATTTACGCCTTGCGTTAACATTAAGGGTCGCAAACAGGGTTGTTCTGAAGTCGGTATACCTGTAAAAAAAACCTATCCGCTGCAGTGGCGTACCTAGATATTGTTACTTTTTAATGAATTCCAGGAGGAACCTAACTTCCTGTTAAATTAATTTCTTTTTTTTTTTTTGAATAGATAAACTTAAAATTACATTTATAACAGAAAAGTCTACATGTAAAAGCTTATACTGTAAAGATGAACTTAAAAAGTAATGATGTTTAAAAATTTATAGTGTAAATTAAAATTAAGGATAGGTAGAGTGTAATGATAACAAGTATAACGCTTGTCTCTGAAGTGTTTGTGTGAGATGTTTCCGTGTATGTATTCTTTTAGGAACAAATTCAGTACATGTAACGTACCTGCTTCAGTCCTAGGGCGAAATGATATTTATTTATTGCTTAGTTCGGTGCGAGAAATGGAAAGTAATGACTCAACAATAAATAAATCAATCACTTGGTTTTTATCAATAAGAAATAATAAAATAGAACTGAAATTGAATCATTGTTCCTGAAAAAGAAATATTGTGAAATGTATGTGTACGTGTGTGTAGGTGTGTAGTGATGTGTCGTGTGTTTTTTTAAGTACCCGTGAAACTAGAACCTGAATGACGCGTCATCGGCGTAGGTTAGGCCCCGCAGGCTGAGAGAAGACGATGGCAGGCGGCCCCTCTGCGTATACAGAGTCTGTATGCTGTATGAGACAAAGTGAAAGCAAACGCAATTGAAAATTGTTTATAACAACTTTGCATCTCATACAGAAATTTGGTCGAAGTATCGACACAAAAATTTGTAAAATTTTTTGACTCAACTGGGGTGCTATATACACGAGACCTACATGAAATGGTGGCAGCTGATGTCAAAAGATTTTACAGTACAAGAATGAAATAAATAAAACTCTGGCTTTGGCACTACATTCTGCAAATATGCATGTTTTGAATACAAAAAAATGTCATAAATAATTACATTTCAAAGAAATCAAAGGTACAATAAATTCGTAATAAAATACATATCAAAGAAATGGAATACATTTCATTTTTTATATATATTACACATCAATATATAAAGTAGTATATATAGAATACTGTACTTTTACTTGAAATATATGGTGCAAACTGCGGAATTCTACCTAAATAAAACACAAAAAATACAAGATATGAAACATGTTCTGCTTCCAAAGCCACTGGAAATCTAGGGTTACATTACGCAAAAATCAAAATTAATTTTAATACAAATTGAATAATAAATCTTCATTAATGAACACCGTAATATAACCCCTATCTGAAATCGGTGGGGCAAATACTGCATTAAAACACACAAACAAGCGCATTYACACACATACGCTCACGCAATTGCTCTTACAAACTTCCATTAAACTCAACTGTTTCAACTTTCAAACACATTCAATCTTTAATGCAAATTTGCCTCCTTAAATTCACATTATTAAATTGAAAAATTGTAATTTTTATCAAATTACAACAAAACTAATATTTTATTGTTAAACGTCTTACTTTACGAAAAGTTATTAACAATTTTCCAATTTCATTCTATTGTCGGAAAAAGTATGGCAAATTGCATATTACATCATTTGAATATTAAATAAAAAGGTAGGTAATTTCAAAGCAAAAAAAAAATGTTGCGATACTTTCCGACTCCCTTGCATTCAATTAATTTCATGCAACGCATGCTTAAGCACAGATTGATTTAATATTTTGGCGCTGTCTTGATTCGTGTGTAAAAACAAAAAAAACATAAAAAATTTGATGATGTTAAATTGGTTCATCCAGCGTAGGGGTTACACGACCAAAACAACAAATTAAATCAATCCTTTGTTAAACTGCCAAGAAATAGAATTATTGCTATCTTACCGCTCGGTATAGCCCCATTAACAGGGGTATATACAAACTGGTGAGGTTCACTAGTTTTGCCGCTAGAGACCACGCATAACCTGACTGTGACAGGTTCGGTAATATCTGGTCTACGGTATGGGGGAATTACGCAAACGAAATGTGTCTGCAACAACAAATAAAAATAAACATATGCTTACTTTCTGATTGAGCGAAACACCAACCTGTTGCAGGTACTCCTTATCGGGAACAACGGCTTGTTCCCATCGGACGTGCCTATCGTCGTCGACTTGTTGGAAGTGAACCTTAGTGTCTTTGAGAAAATTTTTACCCAAAACAAATAACTCCAAGCCTCCGCTGGCGGGACACGAAGTGAGCGATTTTTTACAAATTTCCGGAATTCCGGGTGGTTGGGCTGCAAAACACAACTTAGAATTCACAGATTTAATGCATTAATTGAGACATACTGCAAACGATCGGTTGCGAGCACACTTGCAGCGTCTCTTGTGTGCCATCGTCATGTGTTAGCGTCGTTCTAAAGATCATTCGACACCTCGTCGACTTCTTCTTGCTCCGATTTCCCAATTGATCCGGAAACCTGTGCTCCACATCGACATTCCTCTCTTTCAAAATCCCAACGCAATCGCAAGTCGCGCTCATTTCTTTTGACGGATCTAACTGCAATTCGATGACGCACGTGCCGTCGATTTTCTTCTCGACGCACGGGGTCGAGTTTTTACCGCTGACCTTGCACGCTTGGTAAAACATGTGAGGTGCCACTTTGCCTACGTCGGTTCCGATGAATACCTACGAAAATGGAAATTAGTGTTATTTCGACTAACGGGAAAGAGCCACAAACTTGTAATGTTGTAGGTTGATAGTAGCCCACCAATTGCACGACGGGAAATCCGTTCCCTTCCCGGTCTTTCACAGCACCGCGGCTGCCCTCGGTTTGATACCTCGCTCTGTGTTGTTGTTCCGGTTGTTTCACAATTGTCAGACTCACATCGGATGCTACATTTTTTATTAGGACAAAGATTTTTTTCTCATTTTTTTTTCACATACCATATTTGGAAGTGGTACTCAATTGAGTGGTGAGAGGAATTGGTGACGATGAGGGTTGCCTATTTGATAGAGGGATACACCGCGGGACAGCCCGCCCCGAAGAACTCGTTTGATTGTTGTTCATACTTAAGGAAGGAATAGAACCGGCAGGCGCAGTTCGGATTAACCTACAAACAATAATAAAAATAATAACTGGAGTAAAATTAAATTTGGTAGCGTCACTTCTACGTATAGAAAACTGTAATTTTTGTCAAGTTTAAAATTAACTTAAAACAACAATTACAACTCTCAATTCTATTCTTCTTGTACTTTATTTGTGATTAAATAGCGTTAAAATTGCAATGTCAAGAAACATATTTTTTTTTTAATTAAAAAGAAAACTTTTCTTTTAATTAGATAACAATATCTTATAAATTATCTTATAATTTTTTTAGGAATTTACAGGAAGTCCAGATAGATTGAGAAAATCGATTCAAGTGGGTTGACTTACGTTGTGCTGTCTTTGCAACTTCTCAAAGTTTCAGGAAAACAATATCTATCATTGACGTCTTCATTTTCTAATTTWATGTCCATTTTGAGTCTCTTAGGTTCGGCCCGTTCACCGTTCCACGTAAGCCGTTCCGACATACTATTGAGATGATGGGGATCCGCATGGTGGTCAAAACTGAAACAAGAAAATTATTGAAAGWRTAACAAAGTCCAAATGTGAAAAAATTATAATTTAACGTCGTAGGAGCGTGCCATCATCAGCCTAAATTTGGGTTACATTAAATATTATCACAAAATTTATAAAATTGAATTTAGAACCAAATTACTTTTAAACCAAGGAATATAATTAACGTTATTCCTGGGGCTTTAAAAAAAAATGTCCTCCCGAATTTTAAACAAAGCTAATGACTAGTAGGTACTGGTGATTCATCTGCCAAAACTACATGATAGTAAATGTTTTATTGTTGTCTACTTTCAGTTAGAAACAGATGCTATATCAAGAATGAGAGATATGGAGACTTGTTAAAACTTGGATCGTCTTCAACGCATTCTTACGTCAACGATAAATGATGCATTCGCGTGTTTACACAAAGTAGAAAGGGTCCAAATTTAAGATTTGATTGATTAAAATTGCAACAAAACCAGTTCCTTGTCGACAAARTCAAACATTATTWGCGTTTTAGTCAAGTTCAAGGAAAAAGTTATGTTGGAAAGCAGGCCACTAGGACAACAATTGAAGCTTCGTGGACGAAATTTTAGCTTTAATTGGGTTTATGAAGGATCGCATAAAATTTTACAACGGTCTTTAATCAGAGCTATATTGGCAATATTTCGTGATAATGATTTTATCGACTAATCATAATTTCTATAATTTTTTGCAGTCGTAAACTCGGAATAGATTTTACTTACCCTAGGCCGCTGTCGTTGGAATTATCACATGGGTCCAGACTGCGTCTGAACGCCGATCTCACTTTCGCTGGCATATCTCTGACCATGGCAAGACGTTTTCCACTSGGGGGCCGTCCAGGACGCCTTTCGCGAACCTGGGATCGCACACCGACCGTTGGAATTGTGCATAAAGTCATTTTTAAATTGCCTGGAACATAATAAGGTCATTTTTAAACCGCCTATTATTTTTTTAAATTAAGTCAACAAAGTTTAAACAAATGCCAGATAATGACGAGGTATAATTTTGTTTACTTAGGGCTTAAAATGTGGGTAGACATTCCTTACTAAAAATATATAAACGAATATCATCGATTTATCAAAAGAATTGTTTGTACATGATGCGTGTTATAACCAATACGATAATTTTTCAACTACGGTGCTAACGAATTAAACAAACATTCTATAAAGAAAATAAAGGACAATTAGCGAGAGAATACTAATATAATTGATAAAGCCACAGGCATTTAAATATGCAACTTGCGAAAAAACACAAAACAATATTCCTCATTATGTTAATACTAGCGTCAAGGACATTTATTAGCAACAGTAAAATTATAAATAAGTCTAATTTTAATCATAATTATTAGTGATTCAAAATAAATGCTTCTCTTGATTAAAAAACTTTGTTTAATTATACATACAGAGTATGATACTTTGTAAATTAATCGATTTATCTTACACAAACAGCGGTGAAAAAACATAAGACTTATTGTAAAGGTATGTGTAGACAGATAAAGCATYTGTTTAAAATGTTCCACCTAATAAAATTAATTATACGATTATTATGGCTACGCCACGTCATAGGATCAACCTTGCTCATGTGATGCGTTTCTATTTAATTCTTGACGCATCTACTACTAAAGCAATGTTATTAAATGTCTGCAACAGACATAAGTAATGAAGTTTTAATTTGGTCACTTCCAGAATTACCCACTTTCTAACTAGCTATTTACAGCAGAAATTTAAGTCTCCACAGATAACAAATTCTTTTCAATATCACAATTTTAGCATAGTTGGACTTCCAAGTATAAAACGAATAATTTTACGATTATCGTATTCCAAACATTTTTGTACAAATTTAWTTGAAGTGTTGTGACACAATTAAGATTTGTTTTGCTCGTTTATTAATTAATTTTCACCTTCCAAAAATCAGATATTTATATCGTTAAAATTAGTTGTTTGTAACCACTTTGATAAATTAGAATCTCAACTATCCAAACTGACTAAAACTAGTACAGAAAGATAAGACTTGTTGTGATGTTACCAAGTTGTTCGTTAAAAAATAGCTTTATACCATTTTAACGATATACGGCTTTAAGTGATAAAAATTCGTTTCCTCAGGTAATTACTGCATGGTACTGCAGCTTACCAAAACAAACAGTGCATTAAGCTTAATGTGCCTTAAATTTTTGTGCATCACTGAAAGTAACAGGACGAGAAAACACAAAAATTCTGTTTACAAACTTGAATTAACGAAAATGTACAAAAAAAAGGTCAAATAATGAGATATCTAAATGTTTTTCCCAGACACATGCTTATTGACATTTATTAAAAACATGAATTTTACTATGAAGTATGATGGAGAGATTATTTCTSCTACAATTAGTATATAAATATGTGGTTTGCTTCACAAATTTCGGAACATTGGCCATAAACGTGTCTGTAAAAAGTATCATCATACTATCTTAAGTGTTTCAAAATTTTATGGTTTTCCCAAATATTGGTTCTACAGAGTGATTAAAAAATTTACTAGTTTGATGAATCACGTGAAACAAGGCAGACTGTGAACTAATTTCTTCAGGGCGCAAGTTCGAGTTAAATCAAATCAGTCTTATTGAAATGCTATTGAACTTCAATTACTCTCATTTATTATTAACGCCAAGGAAAATTGGACTGAAAAAGGTTCCGAAAAAACTAAATTTGATTTCTCTATAGTTAATAAATAAAGTTTATCGATCAGTACATTGTTGTGTACACTGTTTGTTAAACTTGTCTACAATTCTCGAATAAACAAACATACATAATGGTTTTTAAAAAGGTTGTCTCTTCATTGCTCACTGGAAATATATGCACTACATATTCAAGGTTTCGACCGATTAGTTTAATTATATTTTCATTTGTTAATGCTAKGTATATAGTAATGTCGCTAAATTACCACAAAATGAATCAATCTTTAACATTAAATACTAATTTGGAAGTTTGGTAATGTCTTAAGTTTATTCAACGAATCAAATATTTAGTCCGATATTAAAGTTCACATTATATTGGTGTCAAAGTTAGATAGGGAACCATTTAAGTATTTAACTGTATAGATTTTAGATAATGAATATTGACATTTTAGTAAACAGCTTTATTTTATAATACCTACTACATCGATTTTGTTATAAAGGGTAAAAGAGTTTTGATAGAAGTAGCCAAAAACTGTATTCGGTCTACTTACTCTATTTTTATCAATACAAAAGTTAAATTAACTMTATAGTATATGTAAATCATCAGTTAGTGTTAAATGCACGTGCACCATGTAACCTTAGATGTTGTGAGAGAAATAAAGTATGTTTTAATTAATGAGTCTCGAAGAAAACTTGATCACCTTAACGAGTCCTTGTTACTAATTTTGAAAAATTGAAGTAAACATATAAAAAGCGCTCTTTAAGAGGCAAGACTATTGGTCTAAATTTATTTCTTTTGGCTCACAACCAGGCAAATATTTTAATAATAGGGTTATAAAAGAATCTCTCTGCAAACAAACAAAATAAATATAATTCTAAAAATTAGCCGGTAGGTGTATAGTTAGTGCAAAAATATTCGGATGCGAGGATAACAAACACAGACTTAAAACGCAATATTAATCAGTTTTCTCACCTTATATCACAGTTATTTTTACAAACAAAATAAAATAAAAATATCACAGTCAAAATACTACAGAGATCACAGTAGACTAGATTTAAAATGAAACTCACGTTAAATTTAAATCAACGGAAAAAATAATAATAAATTCACTTAAAAGCACTAAACTGCATTCCTCAACTTTATGACAATCATTGCTTTAAAAAAAAAATGATAATGCAAACACTGATAAACTAAGTATAGTTACACCAATTCACTTAGCAGATTCTCGTGAACTGAATGAGAGTTTTGAACGGACTCTGCTGAAATCAAGTGCGAATGTTACGCTTGCGCATAAACAAACCAATACAAATTCATTTCCCGCTCAAAATTTTCGGATTATATCTACTTTTCGAATCGGACGTCCCATATACCAACAAAATTTTTGTTTTTATTTAAAAAAGAAGTGGGAAGTTTTAGAACAGCCAATCGAACCGATCTTATTTCGACTCCCTCCTACACTAATAACCGTCACAAGAAAACAAATTAAGACGTCATCATTCATCACTAGAACTTCGGACGTTCTGACTTAAGCCAGATCTACGCTGTATTTTCAGTTTCGTTCTCTAAGCCAAACTGCTAAATTAACCTTTATGTTAACTTTGCCGTTTTTATCTCTGATACATTAAACCACACTTAATCCAATTTCAAAATAATAAGGTTAAGACCGTATTACGTCATGAATTTGTGACTATAACAACACGACGTTTATTATCATTTATGAATATTAACTGACGAAGGTCATCTAAGGTTACCAAATAAATATTTAATTACTTCTTGTTGCTCCTTTAGGAAAATATCCTATAAAAATTAACTTTACTAACACAGCGACATTTTAAAGAAAAGCTTTTCTCGAATGTTTTTATAATACTAAATCAATAGAAGGAACATTATTTAATTTTGAAGTAAACCCTCGAACGCAACCACTTGTTGAAATCTCTATCKTAGTTTCATCTCTTTCACATTAATTTGGTTTTCCAATTGAATGCATTTTGAATTATTTAAAGTACATTCAAAACATAAAAATTAGGACTGTTTAATGACTTGTTTGCCCCAAAAGTATTATTTCAGAACGTAATTACATTCCTATCACTAATTCCACAATAAATGCAATTAAGTAATCTTTCTAGAAGACAATCATTATTTCCAATCATAATTTACGTAGATGAATTATTAATATATAAATAAACCTTCGGTTCAGTCTGGACAGGTTTATAAAAGTTGCTATTTAATGATAAATGTTGTTAGTTTATCGAACAAGTCTCATACCTAAAGGTTGATCTTGAAAATAAAAAAATGCAAATCACTAAATAGATTGTGATCAACCGAATTTCAACATATTTATAGTAGTTATTATTATAAATTTGTCTGTAGCGGCAAGGATAATAAAAAATGAACGTTATATTAATATTTATTTTTATAATGAATAATCTCTACCTATTTGTAGGTCAAAATTTCGACCGAATATAGTGGGTTAGTTTGTTAGAAGTTAAACGTAGAGGTGAACAAATAAATTTAATTTAAAAAGTCAAATCCTCTAATTATTGTAGTGCATTATCAGTAATAAAAATTAGGAGCGGTTCCATTAAAGAGATGTCCTCTGCCCAGTCAATATTATCTGAAAAATCATAGAGATAAAGGCCTATCTGTTGTGTAATTAATGAGATAATGTACCAAGTGTGGATGAAATAATCTAAAAGAGCTGTTTTCTATCGTAGACGGACGTTTGTTACAAAACATTTAAATAAATTCTCGCAACATAAACCAACTTAACAGCAAAATTAAATACAGGCAGTGCTGGAAAAGTTATTTGAAATTGAAGTTATTTGAAATAACTAACCATTGGAGTATATTTTTCGCAAATATTCAAAAATGAATGTATCACCTTTTAAGATTAAAACGATTCATTAATCAAGGTACAAACTTCAGAATTCAAGTTTTTTTCACGCAACAAGTTGCGGTTAACAAAAAATTCTTTCAGACACGTGTCTAGGCAGCGAATATTTTAGTTTGTGTTTACCAAAGTGATCTGAAACTTACCCATTTATCGTTTAAGCTTTTATTAAATAATACAAGGTTAGTCACGAGAGGGTTATTTCTGAATTTGTTTTTGCCGCAACCCATTATACATATTGCAACAACTACTTGATTTCAAATTTTGAAAATAATTATAACTAAATCCACGATAGCTGTTATTAGTCTTGTCTCTGTGACATTATAGTAAAAAAATTATCTCTCAAACGATGCGACATGTTTTGTTATGTTTACCAACCGACTAGGAGCATGTTTAGAAGTCGATGGTAGACACTTCAAACACCTTTTATATTAACTTAACTAGTTAATTTATATGTTGAATTTTGATTAAATATAGGTTATCTGTCAATCTGACATTTCTGGCAAATTTATCCAACTTACTTTGATTTGTAATTTTAAAGAAATAACATATTTAATTTAGTAGTTTGTGAGATTGGTATTGTTGGTGGCGGCAAAAAAAAATTCAGAAATAACCCTCCCGTGAATAATCCTGTACATACCTACCTTTTTATTGTATTGTAGTGTAATTAAAATTATACATTTGTAAAGTTAACAAGTAAACATTTAATGCAATGTTGGTAAAAGAATCGTTCAAATTCGAATTTATGTAATGTATAGCTCCCTGAATTTAAATACATATATCAAAATGCAAATTAAAGTTACAATAATTATTATTCGCAGTACGTGATTGACTCTTAAATCGGGAGGTGATGCTAAACAAGTGTTTACACTTGTCGTTCATTGCCTTCAATAACAACACTATTTGCATTGTCTGGCTTCTTGATTAAATTTATAATTATAGAACGTCGAAGACGAACTATTTCTTTGTTCGTAATTTTCTGGAGATAAGAGGACAAAGGACGTTAAATCAGGACGATAGCAACTCCACAACAAACATATCCTTATAAAGTGTTTAAAAACCGGTTCGATTTTTGCACAATATTTAAATCCTACACAGCTTTCGTATGACTTGCAAAATTAATAAATTTCTATCTAATACGCGATTTTATAAGTATAAAAATATTTGGAAAATTACTTTGCATTTTGGATAAATTTATTAGGGCAAAGCTCTTGCATTGACGCAAATTTCGATACATGTTTATACGATAAAGAAATGCAGACGGAGGTCAACCTCAATCTGATTTTTTTTTTTTCAAAATCGAGAAGACTAGTTCTCAACTACCGATTATATTGTTTTGTTCGAAAAGACTAATTACACCGCAATAATGGCTCTCGGTTTTTCCTGATTGGAGACGATTTCATAAATATGTCTTTAATTGTTTCAATGATTGTGTCTTCTTACAAAATAATGTATTATTAATTTATTGTTAAGCAACTATAAAAATAACAAGTGATCGGGTCGGGTCGCCATTTTATACTACGCTGTAGGAGAAATGTGGACATTTCGGTCGGTTTTTTGCGCCTAGCAAAAGTTTAAATACCTACAGTGAGATAATTGTTTCACTCTCATTTGAATATTTATGATTTTAATGGTGTTCAAAATTATAATTCGCCGCAAGTATGAAGAAAAAAAATTGAAAAGAAATTTTGCTCAGTTCCTTGTTTATTTAATAATTTATTACAACTGATACAAAAAAAWTTCCGAAGTAAACAACAAGAAAGTACTTTTTCCACTCTTACTCCGTAAACCAAAATACTTGCTAWTACGTTTATTAATTGGTGCAAGGTCGTGTCGGTCAAGGCGTTTGCACAATAATTTTTACTTTATTTAATTCTGAGCAAATCTGATCAGGAAATGCTAAGTAAAAAACTTTTTTCGCAACCACAAGACGATTATAAGTGACCACTTTTTTTATACAAAGCTTAAGTTTAAGGCCGTCTGTTAATGTTTATTTTCACGCTTGAACAAACAATTTATATAAAAGTGTTTACGGTCTTATTTTGTAACTTTATAAACCTGTTAACTTTCAAACAGACAAAAAAATCGTTATTAACGAGTGTCTTGGTAATAAAGAYACTGATTTCAGGAGGAGAGGTGTGAATTCTGCGTTCAGCAGAAGAGAAAAGGTGCACGATTTATTGCAGGAGCCGTTATAAAATATGGACATCCACTATCACCTCTTAACATTTGATAAACAAAATTTTCTATTTATTGCTGCAAAAACAGCTTTCAAGTAATTTATTTGTAAAACATTCAAACGAAAGGCATTGTTTTTTCATGCGCCAAAAATGCCTATCTTCTACCTGGCATTTAAGAGCAGATTTGGAATAATTGCATGATCTTTAATTATTGAAAGATTGTATGTAGCCTTGATTAATTAAAACGTCAATGTAGGTAAAAAATTCCGATGGATGCCCAAATATCCGGAGGCAATTCAAAAATTCTATCGTATGGATATGTATTAAAATTATAACAATTTTTTATCACATCGAAATGACTAGTTCTATTTATATCCGCGAGATATCTAGTTAAGATTTTGGAAGAATAATTAATATTATATTAATACGATTATAATTAATTCCACGTTTGAAGGAGTTAACCGGTTATATCTGGTTAAAATTTCACCGTAGTAAACACTTTTTTACAGGTGTAGCACTATAAACAAGGACGATACTCGTTCTGGCCCATTACGAGTCTAGAAAGACTAGAATGGAATTTAATGACGTCAAACATTTCAATTGTAAAAAACTGAAATTGTGGTAAACATAATCCTGACATTTGACATATGATGAGTAATTTTTTGGTAAAATCGATGAACTGGCTTGTTTTTCGTCGAAGCCCCGATAACAGGAAACGTGAACTTTTACCCCGAATTCTCAGCAAAGTCCAAATTTTTCCGGAATCCTTGCGTTTTCTGGATTGAAACGGAACAAAATCTCGTCGAACGGGAAATTCTAGAAGCATACGCAGCAATTTAACATTATTGCACTTTATACCAATTGTTATCCGGTGAATAATTTATTTAAATAACAATAATTGACACCAATAAAGACGGCAATTTGTTAATTCACCATTACAACCAACTTTATTGAGATACAACAGCCATATCAAAAATCAATTTTTAATTTAGCCATTACAACAGTTTTTGTTACTTTGAATTTCACCTCGTTATATTTAGCTCGTGGTGCGTTATAATTGTGACAACGAATTGCTGCGACCACTAACAAGTATGTTTGTTTAAAATTGAATTAACAGTGATTGCTTGCAATTAAAGTAATACTGACGCAGGTGTAAAGTGAATAACAGTCTAATGAAATTATGCAGACTGGATAAAATCGTAACCCACAATTATGGAGA